AGCTCCATGACCTTTAGCTGGGTGCGCAGACAGATTTTCCTAAACCAGCAGCGTCTCTGGGTGTCCCGGTCTCATAAAGGAGAAGGATCAAGATGGTGGATGATCAACTAGATGATGTCCATTCATATCATGGAGGGACAATAGCAGCCACTGACCATCAGAATATTCATTAGTTTGAAAAAGTATTCACAGCTAATTAAGTAAGAAGAGTAAAATCCGTGAATCCTCCAATCACATTGGTGAAGGGACAGACACCAAGGCTCAATAGTGTAATCCCTGGCCCTTCTTCCCTGTCTTGTGTCTTCTCTCTCCCTCCCTGGCCTCCCCCTGCAGTTCCTGATACTCGTGTGTCTGATTCCAGGGGAGAAGTCTGAGGCTGGATCCCCCACTGGCTTAGGGGAGGTGAAAAGGCAGCTCCTGGTGGAAGTGGTGGGAAACTGCTTCTATAAGGTCAACAACCACTTGGACCACCTGTACAAACCACGGCCCATAGAGGAGATGGTCAGATCTGGGAAGGAGATGCTTGGTAAGGAGATGGAGTACAGTGATCTGAGCAGGAACTGTGAGCACTTTGTCACGGATCTAAGATATGGCAAGGCCCATGACCGCCAGGTAAGGTCCTCTGGTGGGGGGCTCCCTCTACCTTGATAGGTCTCTTTGGGGTAGAGGAGACAGGGCTGTGCATCCAAAAGAAAAAAATACCCCCAATGATGTAAAATTATGCTCCCTGCCTCCTCTTAGCTGGGAGTTAGCATGTCAGAGAACAAATCTCAGGTCAGTTTCTGATCCATTCAGGGTCTTTGAACAGGTCCCTTCCTATCTGTCCTCAGTTTCCCCAGGTACAGAAGGAGGCGATGTTTGGAGGACCTCTGGGCTCTGGCCACCTCTATCCCTTTAGGATCCTTCGCCTCTAAGACCCACCCTAAAGGCAGCTCCTGATGCCCTGTGTGCTGTCAGGGAAAGTCTGGGTCAACCCGGGACCATGACAGGTCTCCTAAGGCCCCAGAGAGCCCTCGGGCAAGAGATGCTCAAGGTCTGTGGCCCATGTAAGAGCTCGAGGACATGTTATGTAAGATCTGGGCACATCCTTACTGCTCTCCTCATTCCCTCTTATTAAAACACAGCTAGTAAGAGGCAGAAGCAGGATTCAATGCCCAGTGCTCCTGGCTCTTTCTGCTGAACCACAGCACCTCCAGGGCTCACAGCCCCTGTGGTTGGGTGATGGGCAGCCTAGATGGAGAAGATGAGGGGAGGAGGAGCAGGATTGGGAGGGGAATTAGAGATGTGATTCTCAGGTGGGGTGTTGAGGTGACTATTAGACATGCAGGTGGACCTGTTGAGTATAATTAGGACGTGTGAGTTGAGTCAGGGCTGAAGTGGGAGTGGAGATAGAAGTTTTTTGGGAACAGTACACAGAGCACAGTGATCCCTGAGGCCATGGTTTTCCGTTGTCACCCCTCAGCTCTGCTACCACCTCCCTCTGCAGAGCTGGAGCCCAGGTAGAGCCCAGACCACAGAGCCATTCCCACTTTCACCCCAGAGCTCTGACCCGGGAGCCCAGGAGGGAAGCCTCCTGCCTTATCCAGCCCTGTCACCACCAATTGGCCCCACCCAGGAGGCTCACACAGGCCCTGGAGTGGGTGGGACAGAAGTCTGGGGGTTGGTCAGAAAGACATGGGGTCACATAATCGAGTTCAGCATGGCCCTGAGTAAAGTCAAGAGGGAAAGATGAACAAAGAAGTGAATTCCAGAGAAGCTTCCAGGCTAAATGACCACTGTTGGATGTTGGCATGGAATGAGGGCAAAGGGAAGCTGGCCCCTGGTCTCAGATTGG